TAAAGAATAAATTATATATATAAATCAATCAAGACATGTGCCAAGTCATACATAGGAAACAGCAACCGGATCATCTATTGGGAATATCTTGGATTATCTCATCAATAACGGATCGAAAGATCTTGCAATCGAGATTTCAATTATATAATAAAAGCATATTTATTTTTGCTTTATGTACGTGCCTTAGAAACGGCGATATAACCTGTATAAAGAATAGTATCTATAATAATCTACAGATAACAATTTTATTAAAAGATTGAAGAAAATATTTTTATTAATTATTTTAATTTTGCACGAATACGATTGTGTTTTGAGTGTCCGATATAATAATCTCTCTCTCTAACTGTATATGCGGGATTAATTTATAACTTTAATTTATAACTTTGTCTTCAATCTTTTAATAAAATTGTTATCTATAGATTATTATAAAACTATTGTGTATATTAGACACACACACACACACGTACACATAGGATGTCCCCGTTTTTTAAGAATAAATTCTCCAACATTCTAATACCCATTTCGACCAATGTAGATTAACTTTAATCTAGGTTCAACTTACTCTTTGTCATTTTCTAGCTCTAAAGATTAGAAAAAGACGAAGAGTAAATTGAACCGAGTTAAAGTTAATCTGCATTGGTAGAAACGAGCCTAAGATCTAACCGTCGTGTTCGGATCTTTTTTGACCTGAGCGTTTTTATGGTAGTAAAAAGAAATTACGTTCTGAACATTAATCAATGATATATGATACGAACACGGGTAAAGAATTGAAAGGACGGATGAGTTTTGGTACACCCGATATATACAACGTGGGTAAATTTCTTCTAGAAAATTTATGGATTTTTTTCTACTTCGCTGGAGAGAAAGAATTTGTGTCTATCTAAAAAAATTCAAATTTTTTGGCTCAATAGCTCTTTTCATCGTTTGCCTGTAAACTCGTATCCGTTTTATTTCTGAAGTACGTCGATATTGAGTCCGTCGCATTGCGTAAAGTTCCGAAAAAATGTTTCATTTAAAAGAATATAAGTATATATACAGATGTTGAGGAGAAGAAAACGCGAAGACGCTGCATACAAAAAAAGAATGAGCAACGTGAAACAGACCTATTGACAAACAAAAGAACGGAAACTATAGAAAGGTTCGGTTTTGCCGACTCAGGCTAGCCGGGCCGAGTCGGCGGCCAGCGGCGACGGCGGCGGCGGCGCCACAAACGGCGTGACTCGAGAGATTCTGGCTGGGGACGGTACTGAGCACGCATGCGCACATCGCGCGCGCCAGTCCTCGGTGTACCTGATTCGTCGAGGAACTGCGAGAAACGGCGCAACGGAGGCAGCACACTGCTGATCTGGGCTCTGAGCGCAGATCTCGCAGTTCGCTCTAGCGTCACGAAGGGTTTGGTTTTCGTCGGTACGTGTAGGATTACGATTATCTCGACATACAACGCCAGTTGCTGACCATTGCTGAACTACTTGTTTAGTATTCTGGGACATCAAGAAGAGACAGAGAAATTCCGACGAGGTGACGACGTCAAGGCAGAGTATCACAGAGGTACGTGAGCCAGCCGGCATCGACGAAAGCAACGACGCATTTTGTCGCGGCCATGTCGACTCGACAGTACATATTCCATGAAAATCACTTATTAGATCACTTTATATTCTGATGACTTCGTTCTGGTTTCGAAAATAAATTTGTAGGTTTCTTTTAACTGAAAATCAATTTTCTTATGTGATATATTTTCTTACTTTCATTGTAATAGTTACGATAGAATAATTGACGAAAGAACGTGTGTTCATCGAAAGTCCTTCAAAGAATTCTATACACACGTTTGTTGCCAATAGAGTTTCACCAATGAAAAAAAACGCGCGTACCGGCTTTCTCAGGCTTTGGTGAAATTATACACAGTCAAGGTGTCTTTTATCAAGCGGCATCTACCTTGCACAAAGAACTGGTTTCGGAAGATAATGTATCACCGCGTACATAATTACGATGCATATAATGTGCAATCACTTGGACGGTCGATAATAAAAACAATGTTGCTGAGTCGACAATGGCCAAGATAAAATATCGTGGTCGTTGTTTTCTCGGCTTTCCGAATGCAGCCAATATGAAATATATGTGTATAATATTATAAAGAGAAATTGTATTGTTAACATGAAATATATATGTATAGGCCTGTTCTTTTTAGCTGAACTTGTGATTTATCTTTTCTCTTTTCTTTTCCAATGTGGAGAGAAAGGGAGAAAAGGTGTGCAAGAAATTTAACTGAAAAGAACAGATCTCAGATTATTAAAATAGAATATATTTGAGATCACATCCATTTATATTAATGTAGATTAATTTTAATCCCGGTTTAACTTATTCTTCATCTTTTTCCAATGTTTACCACTAGTTTCACAACTCATGATTTATTCTTAACCGAAGTTCAACGTATTTTTCGTCTCTTTTCAATTCTAGAATTTGAAAGAAATGAGGAATAAATTGAATCTCGGTTAAAAGTTAATTGTGAGTTGTGGAACTGGGCCTTAGAACTATAAAAGTTGAATCGAGATAAAAGTTTCTCTGCATTGGTGGACATGAGACAGAAATAGAAACTAGTGATTGTATGTTCTTAGGGTGATATTTCATTTATGCGTTTTTGTCGAACGACAAATTTTTCAAGCCTGTGAATTGGCTACGAGATAAAGAGATCCAGGACCTCTCTGTTCTGTACACATTTGTCGTTCGACAAAAACGCACGAACGAAATAGTACCCTTAAATTTATTTGCTTGTGTTGACCATATTTTTTTCCTATTCTATTCTCATTTCTTCAATGCTTATTTCTAGCAAAAAATAATGTATGCAAAAAACAAGCAGTGTCTTCTCAAGCATTAATGTGGACTATTCAACATTATTTATTACCAAGCGGTTTTAGAAAACTAAATTATATTTTTTATTGAACACCTATTTCGAAAGAAATTATTTAGAAAATTTTGTATTACACACAACACACATCTTGTCACCTCTTTGGTCTGTTTTCTGTTACTGCACTAGACTGTCCTAGAACTCTCTTTCTCACTTTAAACAAATATCAAACGTACATCTATCTCACTTTAAGTTCTAGAAGTGTACACTAGTATAGCCACAGAAAATAGACCTCTTACTGTATGTAATTTTTTATAATGTTAATATTTGAATTATTGATTGAGTAAAATTTTAACAGAATTTTCAATTTTTAATGTCTTGGATTATATCCATAATCTATGTCCCTCATTCCACGAAGAATAAAATTATTTTTTGTTAGCTCGTGTTACAATAATCGTCTTTTCAGTTTATTCACAATTTTATCTATCATTTTTCAATTTATATATTTAATGATACGTTTATCATTAAATATATATAAATTTATTTTATTAAATTTGATAACTTTTATCATTTTGTAATTTTAAACGTTATTTGTTATTATAGTATGATTTATATTGTCGAATACAAAAATTACCTATTTAGTTATATATTTTATTATTTAAATATTTATTATTTTATTTAATACATAACTATATGTTATATGTGTATTTAACGTGCAATTTTTTTTCTATAGGTAAAAATGGAAGAACAGTGGGGAATCGATGACACGTTGGATTTTGGTCAGGCACCAGTTAATATGTCTTCTGTAAGGATATGCATTTAAATCTTTTTTTTTTTTAAGTATATATTATAAAAATAAAACAAAATAATCATTAATATCGATATTTTGTTTTAATAGTTTGAAGAAGGACGCGCCCCTTGCCGTGGTAAAGGACGAGGCGCAATACTGTATAATAATAATGACACAGATTGCAGTGTAGGAGGCTCCTATAATAGTAAACAAACAAATGAAGAAAATTATGATAATAATACCTACAACGAAGATACTGAAAATAATAAATATAATGGCGATAATAATAAATTTGGAGGAGACAACAAACAAGACAATGGTAGGCGTTATGGAAATAGAGGTGACAATGATCGTAGGTGGCAAGGCAATAAGGATAGGAATAATAGTCGGCGAAATAGGGATGATAATGGTGAAACTGAAGATAATGGCTTCAATGGAAGTTATCAGAACGATAGAAAGGACAGACCCAGGAGAGATAGAGATGAAAATAGAGGTGGAAGAGGTGGCGGTTATGGCAGAAACAGGGATGGCGATGATAATGATAGAGGTGGAAGAGGTGGCGGTTATGGCAGAAACAGGGATGGCGATGATAATGATAGAGGTGGAAGAGGTGGCGGTTATGGCAGAAACAGGGATGGCGATGATAATGATAGAGGTGGAAGAAGTGGTGGTTACGGCAGAAACAGGGATGGCGATGATAATGACAGAGGTGGAAGAGGTGGTGGTTACGGTAGAAACAGAGATGGCGATGATAATGACAGAGGTGGAAGAGGTGGTGGTTACGGTAGAAACAGAGGTGACGATGATAATGATGGCGAAAACAGGAGACGCAGAAGAAACGACGATGAGTCCAAAGAAGATGATGATAAAGAAGAACCAAAGAAAAGAGAGATTTATATTCCACCAGAGCAACCTGACGACGAAAATTCCTTATTTGGAAACGATGTAACAATGGGAATAAACTTCAATAAATATGATGATATTGAAGTAAAAGTAAGCGGTGAGAATGCACCGCGTCCAATACAATCCTTCAATCAATCCGGCCTCAGAACTATCCTATTGGAAAACATCACAAAGTCAGGTTATACAAAACCTACTCCTGTTCAGAAGTACGCCATTCCGATTATAATAAGCGGTCGAGACTTGATGGCTTGCGCGCAAACAGGTTCAGGAAAAACTGCGGCGTTTGTAGTTCCTATCTTACACACTCTGTTAGAAAATCCAAAAGATTTAATTAAAACGTCCACTTCCTGCGAACCACATGTAATTATAATATCGCCTACACGCGAGCTTACATCACAGATTCATCAGCAAGTCAAGAAATTTTCTTTAGGTTCTATCATACGTGCCGAGCTTGCTTACGGAGGAACATCGGTTATGCATCAATCAAATAGAGTGCTTAACGGTTGCCATATTCTAGTTGCAACTCCAGGTAGACTGTTGGATTTTATAGGACGAGGCAAGATTCGACTTTCTTCCTTACGTTTTCTTGTACTGGATGAAGCTGACAGAATGCTTGATATGGGTTTTTTGCCCGATATTGAAAAGTTAATAGATCACGAAACAATGGCACCTGCAGAAGAAAGGCAGACTCTTATGTTTTCCGCTACGTTTCCAAATGAAATACAAGAACTTGCGGGTCGATTTTTACGAAATTATTTATTCGTGGCAGTTGGGATTGTCGGTGGTGCTTGCGCTGACGTAGAACAGAACTTTTATCAAGCATCTGGTCAGTCTGAAAAGCGAAAATTGCTGAAAGAATTGATAGAGAAACAACATCAACTAGAAAATATAGAAGGTACTTTAGTATTCGTTGAACAGAAAAGGCATACGGACTTTATCGCGGCTTTCTTGTCGGAGAGCAATTTTCCAACAACCAGCATACATGGTGATAGATTACAAAGAGAACGAGAAGAAGCTCTATATGATTTCAAACGAGGAAAAATGTTGATTTTGGTGGCAACGGCAGTTGCCGCGCGAGGCTTGGATATTAAAAATGTCTCGCATGTAATTAACTTCGATTTGCCAAAGACGATCGACGAATATGTTCATAGAATTGGACGAACTGGTCGGGTTGGAAATCGCGGCAAAGCAACTTCATTTTTTGATTCAAGTACTGATATGCCTCTCACTGATGATTTGATGAAAATTTTGAAACAAGCTGGTCAACCGGTACCTGACTGGTTAGAATCCGGTGGCGGTGGCGGAAGCAGAACCTTCATGCCAGGAAAGGGAAGGAGATTCGGCGGGGAAGATATTAGAGGCGTAAGTAATACTACAATTAAAATTTTTTTATCGAATGTTGATAATTCATTTCTATTATATTTTTAATATCTTGCCATTGAATAGTAAAATTTGTATATTCTACGTCGTTTTATAAATAATAGAGAAGAATTGATCATACTAAAGCTTTTAAATCTACAATATAAATTATTCATAAACCTATGGTATAAATAAATATAAATTTTTCTCTCTGTGCAGAACAAGAATGCATATGGTGATGAGACATATGAAGACGCTGGTTATGCACCTCCTACACAAGCAGAACCGGAAGAAGAATGGTAGAGATTAGAAGCTTCATATTTATTTTACACAATGTGTAAAATACTACTTTGCTTTCTTTAATTTTAAAAAGTACGATAGCTTTCGTGGAACATTATCTGCTGTTAGCAGAAGTAACAATTAATTTGTTTTCCTTTTTTTCTTTAGTTTATTATGTGATATACTTTTATTATTGCGTTCCTTAACAGTGAGAAAAAATGCAAGATGCATTTAAATTTATATTGCTACCTCAGGATATTAGAGTACTTGGATATAGAATTAATAGTTTCAGTAATAAAATGTTAAATTACACAAGGTTTTTTTAGATTATACATACACTTACACTGTTTACATTGTATAAATCGTAGGCTATTGAACAAAAAAATTATAATTTTGGATTGTATATTTAAAAATTATGATTTAATAGGTTGTCTTCCTTTTGCTTTAATTAAAATATTACCATCTTAATATGATTTGACATTGAAAGTATATCACTGACGAGTCGATTCTTGTTAGTGGTATTGTATTTCAAAATATGAATCGTGTGGGGGAATATGTAACTATATAAAATATACAATATGTAGTAATAATTAATGAATTTTTTCCATTATTTTCACGTACTTTAACGTCAATCTTTAAAAAATGTTAAACAATTTTTAAAAAGTTTATCTGAAACTAATAGCGCGATATGAGAATACACACACAAACGAAAAAGTATATATTCTATATCTCCCACACGATTATCGAAAGAATTAAAATTTATTCATATTTCATGATTGATTTATTTTATACAATTCTATTTTGTTTCTTGATGTTATATTTTTATACGTTATAATAAATATAACATCTAATACAGTTTTATACTTTTATAATAAAATTTTTGGTTGTAAAAAAAACTTGTGTTTTTGGAATAAATTCTTCAATAATAAGTTATAGCTTTAATACATTCACACATGACAGTGAAATTAATATATTATTAATTAGGATAACTAAATACACGTGGGAAGGATAATGTAAAGTAGGTTCACAAATGAAAGTTATGTTAAGAAAATGCTATAATCTTGTTTCTTCAAATTCAACCTAATTATTACTATATACAGATTAGCAAATTCTATATCTAAATACCAATAAAAAAAATTTAACATGCATAAAGTAGTTTAAGAAATCATCAAAAAATTATCGATCTTTTAATTTTCAATTTTCTGCAGTTAATTAAAAATCGATAAGATATGTTATCAAGAGATTTTATGAAAATTGTTAGAACTGATGCTTCTATCATATTTTTTTTAAATATCTGTATATTCTTTAAATTTTGTTAATTAATTATTAACACATGAATGAGTGAGAGGATTTTAATATTAGGAGAAGAATGTACACTCTTATAATAATGACATAAGCGATGATAATACTTACCGTCGTTCATGGCCATGTCCATTAGGTGCAAGTCCTCATCATTGAGTAGAGACGAAAGAAATCCGTCAGTAGTTTGGTTGATGGAATCTGTCGTCGGGGCATGATAATAAATCATATCGTTAGGTTCAGATTTGTAACTTGCGCCACTCTCTGCACCCATTGGCTCACTACTGTTTGTCAAATTCATCGATGTTGCCACAGCTGAACCCAAATTCGACGACCCACCTGTAACAGTGAGCAGCTTAGTTCAGACAATGAAATTTCTTAGGTCTTAGATGGTACTTTAATTTACTGCATTTCCCCTATTTTTTTTTTTTCCAAAAATTAATATCAGTCGAAATTTTTAAGAGTATGAGTGCGTGAATAAGAAACGTAAAATTATTAAATGTGGATTAAATTGAATGTGAATTATTGTTGTAAAATTGTGAATTATGAACGTAAAATTATGAATTAGGTTGTTATATAACTTATGTATTGGACTTGCCGCGAGTATAAAAAAATATTTTAGTTGATTGGATTTCGTACGTTTCTGATGGATATATCGCGTGATGTACAAGCTTCAATTATCTCAATGATACAAATTTAGTAATTCATATTGCGAAATTTCGTTACATCAGAGAGAAAGAGATATATTATATAACATAAAATAGGAACAGACAAATAAAATGGGAACAAAACTTCGTACAACTTTAGGCAGTACTCACCCACATTGTGGTAAGGTCCCGTTGAATTGAGATCCCCGACCGGAGGCGCCAAGGTAGGATTATGAAGCAATACGTTACGTTGCGCCTCGTAATGGCTGTGACTTATACCGTGTCCTGGATATCCAGGATGCGCTGGATGTGCGAAGTGATCCGGTGCTCCTGGCAGGGATAAAAGAGACGCAAGATCTTGCCACCGCTGTTCCATGCTCATTGCTCGCATGAACGGCATGCGACCCTAAAAATAACAAAGTTCGATTCTTTTAAAATTACAATATTCATAAAAGCTGAATGATTTTAATGCGTCTCATGTGATAAATAATAATCATTGATAATTTGAGCATTTTTAAAACCTTCCAGAATATGTTTTACACTATATTGCAAAAATAAAATTTTGAAGCAACTTCAAAGGCTTTATATGATCGATATCGCAATTTTATTGAATTCCCGACATGTTGACCACTCGTTCGCGTTTGAAACTAAATCCACGAGATTCTACGCGGTCGTCGACCCTCGCAGCAATTATCTTATCTTATAGGTACATCCTATTATCATAGAATCGAATATCCATCGATCGAATGTCACACAAGAGGAATCCCGTAGCCGTCGTGCCTGTCAAATGTCAACCAGGTAGACAGCTGGATTCCAAGGAGGTAGGAACCCCGCTGATCGCGTAGGTGTTGGCTGCACGTAAGATCGGTAAAGGATATTAATAACAGCGATACTACGTGTCAAAAGTATCCTTTTCCTCTTGTAAGGGCATGCATCAATCGTGATCGCTTGTCAATCAATACGGAAATTATTGACGGGCGAAATTTATTATTAAAAAAACGCAGCATGTTTATAAGTATATAGCTACCAAATAAGTATAAGCCACGATGGGGTTTTATTCGTCGGAATGATACGATAAATGTTTCTGCTCAAAAAATGCAACTGTACTATTTTTCATTTGTATCATCAATATTCTTCGCTAATACATGTAAAATATACATACTTATGTTATAAATATATGTGAAACGAGTGTACAAATTATAACATTAAATCGCATATCATATGGACAAGTAATAAGTATCGTGTTATCATATTTCTTATACCTACACTTGTTAGCAGTGCGGCGTAATAACAGGAAACACGGAATTATCTTCGATTCCTCTCTCGAGACGCGCATTTTACGCTTTCGAGGAAAAAGCATCTGCGAATTTCATACGGTTGAGGAGTATAAAAATCTCTCTGGCGACATGCGCGCGAAGAGAATCACGATTTGTCCGCTAATTGTGAGAGAACAGTCGTTCGCATGTACTTTCACGAAATTTCTTCCTGTCCCGCTCGACTCGAGTCTGCGAGGAAGGGAAGGGAAGGAGAGACTCGCTGTACGCGCGAGGCTGCATCGCCAGCATCGCATCTCTCGCGGCGCGGCGTAAGCGCGGTAGTGGTGCTTGCTGGTGCTGGCCGGGGGTACGTTAGGTACGTACTACATAAGTAGTAAGTACGTACCCACACCGGCGGCGCGGCGCGGGCGCCTTAATGCACATAGGTATTGTCGCTAATGCGCCTGAGCGCAAGAAGAAGATGAATAGGGAAGCGCTGCCGTGGCTGGCTGTGCACGGCCGGGGCCTGCTGGATTGTTGTTCACGGGTGCATCAATCAGTCGCCAGTGCAATCTGTCGAGCGCGACGCCTTTAAGGCGATTCTCGCTTGTCAGCGCATCTGCCGGCTGTGTAGGCCGCGGCGCGGCGAAATGTAGGACGGGGGACTTTTGTTCCACGGCGATTTGTCGTGCAGCGCGACGCACCGCACGTTTCTAATGGCCGGACTTTACGGCTCATCCTGGTTCGACGTAACGGCCGTGATTGAGTTATAGGAAAAAAGCGTGCGCCGCGTTTAAGCCTCTCCTCTCCTCTCCTCTCCTCCCTCTCTCTCTCTCCTGTCCCGCCGTGGAGACTGGAGAGACGGCCGCGATTACTGTCCGCGACACGGCGAAGTGCGACAGCTTTCCGCCGCGCCGCCGGAACGCGACTTCCAGTTTTCAATCATCGTCGGGAATACTCGAGATTCGTTATAGCTCGTGGCGGATTAATCCGTGACGAAGATCGTTAACGGACGTCGTCCGCGTTGCAACCGTAGAAATCGGAGTTTTCGAACGGTGGATTAATTTTGAGTAGATAAAGATGCGATTGCGGACTTTTAATTGGCCATTTTATTCGATCCTTCATCCACAATGCGAATATATCAATAATACGCTCAACTTGCGTTATAAACTATAGCGGAAATTATCAGGATGCGGGCGCGATGTCGTGTACGAAGACTGTCGGCTGTTAATCTCGCGATTAGATGCACGATGCGTGATTTATCGGGACAGCCGTTGGGGCTGCCCGACATAACGTTCGTTCTGACGAATCCACGTCTCTCAAATTGGTTTAGTATCTATAATACGCGTGTGGTAGACGAACGTTACGTTACGCATTCCTCCTCAGCTACTGGCGCTTATGATTTATGTACCACACACAGTACGTACGGCCTCATGTACGGCGCACGTACATGCGCTTATTTCAAGCCTGTGTATGATCTCGCTTCGCGTGTACGGCAGAGTCGTCGCGGAACGTATGAATCTGCGAGAGACTGCGAAGGAAAGATATCTGCGGCGGCAGATGTTTGAAACGCGCTGTCGAGGACTCGTTAGATTTCTTCCGAGGTCTCTCTCTCTCTCTCTCTCTCTCTCTCTCTCTCTCTCTCTCTTCCCTCTCTTTCTGTTTCCTTCTCCTTACCCCCTTTTCCCTTGCAGCTATGTGCTCTTTTTCTTCTGGTATTCATTAATATCGCACAATCTCCGATGCCTTATCAAATCCATCATAAGAGTTCGCGTAGAAACAGATTTCTGAGATTTGTATAAAACTGATGGTTACTCTGGTTCGTTAGAAAGCGCATTCATCGCCAGTATTTGCACTTGTATTATCATTCATCGCACTACTTTACTCGAATACGTTCCCAATGAAA